AAGTAAATAACTTTTACTTATATTCAAGGTCACAGGGGTCAAATTTGTTTAAAATCTTTAAACAACCTCTTCTGAATAACCATGGGTCCCAGGATGTTTATACTTTGCAAGTTGCATCCTTAGATGAAAGGCTATACAATGTGTTCAACATAATGACTTTGTTCGACTTTCAATCACAGGGGTGAAATGTTAAAAAGAGAAATAACGGTCTTTTGAATGAATTTTAATCATAAATACTGATATTTTGCCTGTAGCTTTATTTTAGATCACTTTTAAGGTTACAAGTGTGAGTTTTATACCAGGTGAGCGATGCAGGCCCATTGGGCCTCTTGTTTTTTTCTTTCTTCAATCTACAATAAATTTATAATACAACAACGATGTTACGAATTTGTAATCCCTTCAGTCACTACGATCCCATTCCTGCACCCTGGCTGGAGAAGGATCCGGAGACAATAGCAGGTTCTAAATAACATCTTTATTCACTTCGACCTTCTCATTAATATTCGGTCCCTATCGAGGAAATCTTATTTTTGACTCCAGGTGTTTTTCTTTCACGTGAACTCTCTTGGTACTATTAACCAGTTGCATCCTTTAATTACATTGTAGATGTGACTTTCTCTTCCATCAAATGGGTTTTGTGAAAAAAATGCAACTGCTCGTCTCGCATGTCTCACGAGAAAGGATTCTTTAAACAATCAAAGAAGGCCGCACTTCCTATGATTGTATGTGAGTTGTTTTTGTTTAAAATAAATCTCAATTCCAACACATCAATTGATAAAAATGACTAATAAATATTTCTGTCAATACTTTACCAAGTTTTATCGTAATCATTACATGTAAATAAATATACATGAACGCATACATTATTCAGTAGAACGCTGGAAAAGATAACAATAGTTGTTGATGAAGATGTTGTTGTTAAATGCTGCTGCTGCTGCTGCTGCTGCTGCTGCTGCTGCTGACGACGACGACGACGATGATGATGATGATGATGACAATATCACAAATATTGATACAATTATTACGTTCGAATCCTGTACCGGAGAGTCATGGATTATAACTAATTTGGATTAATAAATTGGATTTCTGACGATTAAGAATGTATTTTGGAGTGTGATATATATATATTATATTATAGCCAAACCAATATAGTACATTCCTTTACCCTCAAACTGGTGAAGAGTTGACTCTATCTGACAGACGTCCATGGCCGTAACTATTGTAAACAAATGTACACATGGGTACTAGGGGCCCCCTGATAATGGAAACAATATAATTCACACCTTTGCAACAAACGGGTACGACTAAGTCATTCAGGAATGTGTCCTACTTAACCATTAAAGATCCACTTGGTACGTCAGTGGTCCCAACTTCAAGATTAACCATATACAACAAGAGGTGTATTTAAATTACGACTTAGTCATTTATTTAAAATTCAATATTGACGTACTTACGATAATTAAATCCGCTGACCACCTTTCCACTACTGTATACAGGATACAAGAAAATAAATGACTGGCTATTAACGCCGGATTTCGGTATGCATATATGTACATGTATAGGCCTATATATATCATGCCATTATAACTACGGGTGAGGTCTATACCACGTGTTCGATTCTTACCCGTGTCAGCTATATAGGTACACGGACCTATATATACACAAGCATAGATCGTTTAGAACTAAGACTGTACTATGTTTTGGAGATAGTTGCTGTTTTCTCTGGAGACAATAAGAAAATGTTAATGGAGGGCATTATGTAGTGGTGGATTCGTGAAAAGTTTTAGGAAACAGGTACGTGATTTTTATAATAATATTTCATCAAACTGAAACTAACAGGCAATCGGACGTATGACTGCTTAAATAGACACTCTTCTTATGGTTTCGTATTTTTATGAGTGGACAATGTACACTTACCCATATAAAAATACACTGAAATGATTTTTATTTCACGTTTTCTCAGCGGAAAAGAATCTCTGAAAAACCAAACTAACGACAGAAATATGTACAGTACTCTCTGCAATTATTCTTTTTATATGTTCCAATTCAAATTATTAAAAAAATAATTGATTATAAAAAAAAATTCCCACAAGACCCTTTTAACATTACAACCTTTCGAAGAGTCGTGCACATCTATTACAATATATCTCGTTCATTTATAATGGAGTCGTTCAACAACTTCATCTGCAAGTCGTGCACATTTACCTAATTGTGACGTCATACTTATTCAATATGTGTGACGTCACGACTGAAAATGATATGATAGGTTAGATACACGTATCATGATAGCATAATATGACAAACTATCCGCACATGACTAGTGGGAATAAAGGATTCCTAATCCGAATAGCTATATCTTAAATTTCTCTAAAAATACTGCTAATAAATTAGATTTAATTTAATTTGATTAAATAAGTTCAGATTTTCCTTATCTACATGTATCCAATCATTGCTATAAACGTGTCGGTATGGCTATTTTAAGTGACCAGGTGAACAGTGTTTATTAACTTAATGGCTAATATTATAAGCCTGAACAATGCGTTCACACAATGGAGGGTTTGTAATGATATTTGATTCGGGATTAATTACACAGTTAAATAGTCTTTATAATCCGGTACTGACATCGTATATACCTTTATAATTACGATAGAAGCGTGTGCCAAATCTGATATACTTTTACATCTCTTGGGAGTTATTTAGAAAATACTTATGAAGGGTATTACGAAATACCAGTTCGATTGATTTTGACAACATGCTCCTCATTTGTCGGTTTAAAGTTTCTTAGTAACAGCTTATGGTGCTCATATAATATGAAGAGGATGTGCTCAGGTGTTGAGGTAATGTTTTCAACAGCCAAATTAAAGACATATCTTAACGGAATGCTCCTAGCTTGAAACAGTATCATGACACCCCCAACCCCCGGTGGATATTATTCTGACACAGAACTATTGATATTGAAATATTATCGACGGTAACTCAACTAACAGTAAATGAACATAACGCTATATATAAATCCTTTTTTGGAGTGTATGCTTACAGCGGGTCGAGCGTCCGAGGCGCGGAGTGTCGGAGGAGGAGGGTATGGGAGGGACCATAGCTGGAAAAAAATGCTACATGTAATAGGCCCTAGAAGCAATCTCCCGTGTTCTGGGGTCTCCTTTTAGACTGATTGAATAACATTTAATTTTTGTACCTCACCCAGTAGTGTTTGATTCAATCTAATTAAAATTATATCTTCACATCGCTCCCGTTTACTGATATGTCGCGTTGAAGATCTAACAACATCCCATAGAGGGTCACGTCAGAGGTCAATATGAATACATTATCGTATTTATAACAAGCCAATCAAAACGCGACATAACTCTTTCTGTAAACCAATCAGAAAGCAGGACCTGTAGCATTTAATGCAGACACCTCGTAGCCCAAAATCCACTTTTTCGTCTGGTCCAGTGATAGTTTGAATATTGCGAAGCCTGTCATTGGTTAATTTTAGTTTCAGGCTGTTAAACTTTTAAACGACAACATCACCAGAAGAGGAAGTCTCTCTTATTTCAAAGCAAAATCCACAAATTGTACAAACGTTGTCTTGTAGATAGACACGGCGTGGTGTCATGGGCGCCGCCATTTTCGATGTTCATTTGACACCTCTCGGTCTTTATCATAGCAAGTGTGTTCCGAAATCATTACATCATCACTTACAGAAATGCGTAAGCTCTCATCTGATTGGTTAATACAAAGGTCGCCTGAACATGACCCTCTTCGGGATGTTGTTAGATCTTCAACGCGACATATCAGTAAACGGGAGCGATGTGAAGATATAATTTTAATTAGATTGTGTTTGATTTACATAAACCCTCGTTAGAAATAATATAACAACACTATCTTATCAGGCTAAAATTTCAAGAAGTTCTTTTTTTATTTATTACCTTTTTTTTAAGATTTATACAGACATTTATCATAAAAGATAAAGAAATTAATAAAAAAGTTATGATTATAGAAACAAATTCGTGAAAAGTTCATTGTATGCATGAAGCATACAAGCATACATGTATGCTACGCCACTGATCGCACGGGCTTTATCTCTGGTTCTATTGCGAAATTTCACTTTTGGAAAATTCGCGCACAGGGGCCTGAAAATGGAGAAATATTTTATAATTCTCAGGCCCCTGTGGTTACCGACATGCTTGTCGGCACATCACATGAGTATCGTATGTCCAAATTGAATCAATAGAAGCATATCGGATCCTGTAATTCTACTGTTCACCTGAGCCAAAGTTGTATTTAATATGATAAGCTTAACATTTATTTAACGCTGATATTTAATCTTGTATATTATGAGATTATATTTAAATTCAAAAATAAAACTACGTGTATAGAATGAAAACATTTGGAACAACAGTCCAAAGACAATAAATTAAGAAACAACAATTTGTAATTTTATTTAAAGATTTCTCAAAATACTTTTGCCTTATTGGCTCGTGAAGCTAACCGTGCTTTGACCTCACATTTACAGGTATACACGAAGTGTTAGCAATCAATGCGCTGGGTGTTGTTTAAAATTTAATGTGGTTCTTGCCTTTGATAAGTGGAAAACGATGTCTTTTCCCATGGACAGATAATAAACGGTAGATTGGCTGGTATTGACCCCGTTACAAGTCAAGAAATACATTTTAGACAGAAGAGGGAGCAAGGGTATTGGGAGGACAGAGAGCAAATAAACAGAGAAGGCGAAGGAAGGAATAAAAAGTTGGTTCAAACAAGGAATAAGATGAAAAGAAGTAGATATAGACACTACACGAGGTGTGAGAGGACAGGAAGTAGATATAGCGAGGAGACGAGGATGAGAGGACAGGGAGTAGATATAGAGAGGAGACGAGGATGAGAGGACAGAAAGTAGATATAGAGAGGAGACGAGGATGAGAGGACAGGAAGTAGATATAGAGAGGAGACGAGGATGAGAGCACAGGAAGTAGATATAGAGAGGAGACGAGGATGAGAGGACAGAAAGTAGAAATAGGGAGGAAACGAGGATGAAAGGACAGTAAGTAGATATAGAGAGGGGACGAGGGTGTGAGGAAAGGAAGTAGATATAGAGAGGAGACGAGGTTGGGAGGACAGGGATTAGATATAGAGAGTAGACATATTTAGAGCCATACATGTACCATAATTTCACTTCATTTTACTTTTCTAATCATATATCACGGTTCCGTTATTTGAAAGAGGTTGAAAAGGCGATACAGTTGATTTCACGGGAAAGCTTTTGTAATAGGCTAACTTCAAAAATAGATTTACACTATTGAAAACCAGATGTTTTCCTAAGGATATTGACGATAACGGCCTTTGGTGCCTGTTGTTGGTGTCTGTTAAGTTACCGGGACCTCGATTACCCGAACAATCGATCTGTATACAACTATTATATATCCGGCCATTCACGATGTTCCTAGTGAGACAAATATGTAAACGGTTCATTAAAAGTAACACGATCATATATTGATGGCGAGACACATATACTTAAATCAGGAACAAATATAGTGTACTGTTTCTGTCAGGAAAATAAATGCTTCAGGAATTTGTTCGATTTTGTTTCTGTTTGGTTCAAAAATATAGAATAAAAAAAACAATTTACTCTTTTACCGATGTATCCCTGTATACAGGGATTTGTGTTGTTGACTTCCAACTAGAAATAAACCCCTATAACATACAATGTCTTTACATCTTGAATCATGTTCGATATCAGTTCCAAGTTGTTTCGAAAGTGAAGAAAAAGGAACAGTTTAGGCCGTCGTTGGTTAGCATCTGTATCCCAAGACCGTCTTTAGGAAGCGAGTTTTCTCTTTGGTTTGTTTTCCAAAATGGAATGCTGTCCGTTATGAAATGATCCGAATTATCATATATGATGTCGTGTCTCATTGTTCATCTTGTAATTGTTTCAGGTCAGAGTTATCTGAGTAAAAAGTAACATGGGTTGTGGGACCTCCACCCAAACGAAGCCGACCTATAGTCGCGCTACGCAGGACACGGTCATCAGTGATGTGGAATTAGACGATAACTACAACGAATCGTCCACAGGATTGGAAACATCTTCCAGGAACACTCCCTCGAACCCCGCCATCATTGTTACACCAGCCTCTGCAACCACGCGTCATACATCGTCCCAACGTCAGACACCGAAATCTTCCAAATCGTCGACTTCATCGCCCATAGATGAAGGCATTGAATTAGAGGCTTTAGATGAGGAAGACTATCCACCAAAGCCATGTAAACTGAAGAAAATTGAGATCGTGCCAGATGTTAGCATGTTTAAAAACATCGATGAACATGTAGCTAAGGTAGGTGAACTGTTGGCCACGACAGGTATTTACTGATACAATGTGGCCCCGGCCCAACAATATACCAAATGCCATGCGATGATGGCCCCGAACAAGTATTAACTTATACAATGTACTGTATGTAGTGGCCCAAAATCTGCATCCACTAACATACATGTACAATGGTGGCCCCAACAATGTTTCAGTTGACTTTCACTGTTGGCCCTAATACTGTACATGTATAAACTATAGTGGCCCCGACAATGCATTATATATAACTAGTAGTATAACTTTATAAACTGTCATTACATGTTGAGTTGTAAATGCTTTAACGTGCTTTACCAAAATTGTGAATTTCATGACCCTGGGGTCTCACGTTTCCCTCTGCTATAAATAATATAAATGCTTTATCAATCTATTTTCAGACTCCTAAATCTGCTACAGCATCTATCCCAGAGCTGGCAAAATATCTCTGTCGGCCAGCAAAGAATCAACTTGAAAAAATTCGGGCAATTTACCAATGGGTGTCGAGAAATATAGAGTAAGTGTCTGACATATCATTGACCGTACACCGCTAAAATGGTCATTTATATCAAATATTTACAATAAATTCTAAAATGTTTTTTTGAAGGAATATATCAAATATGAAATATCCGTTTATACAGAATGATATTGTCTGACCAGGGCTTCCATGGCTCAATATATACGATATATTGGTAGCAGTCCGTATTGATCTCCTTTTTATGTTAGTGTCTTTATGGCATTGATCTAGCCCGAGTTTCCTTTTGCCCCGACACCAGACTTAGACAATTTGACAGACACACCAGACATCTGTCTGTCAAAATCTCTAGGATTTGTGTCAGGGCAAGAACACTCCGGCTTTGTGGAGTTAGGGGATGCACATGTCCAATAACTTGCATCGTCGTGTATAACTGTTGGTTTACAGTGTAACATAAACATTTCAGGGATGGTCCTGCTGTGTTTGAGATTTATGGCGGTATATCGTGATCTAATAAGTTTTATTAGTAAGCTTTATCAATGTTGTCGGAATGCATAGCGCCTACATTTGGGATTTAGCACATACATGTACAAATACACATGAACGAGGAGAGCTCGGTTTGGGCATAACATGAATTAAACCCCAGATGTGTTATAGTCTGACCATATTGATAGAAAACTTCCATTTCCTTAGAGTATGACAAGCTCACAGGTATTTTCTCAATAAATGATCATTTTTATTTTTTATTTAGAACAGAAGCCTCGTGTATCTCACTCGTGCAATTCAATCAAGTACTGGGTTACGTTTCAAATGCATTAGAAAGATTGCTGAATTGCACGAGTGAGATACACGAGGCTTCTGTTCTAAATCAAAAATGAAAACGTCTACCGATGATCATTTATTGGGAAAATACCTGTGATCTTGTCACACAAAACAACAACAAAAAGAAGTTTAGTTTAAACGTCTCTCAGGCAATTAAGTTGAAATGATTGATTTTTTTTTTGTATTTTATGCTTGATTCAATGTATTGAAAATAGACGTCGTATTTATATATAGGTATGACGTGGCGGGATTCCTCAATCTGAACGGCACACAAAAGAAATCCAATGATCCGGAGTCCGTACTCCGTAACCGCTGCAGTGTGTGTCAGGGCTACGCCGACCTGTTTTTGTCTCTATGCAGGTATGTAGATATGTCACTAGACAGGCGAGGTATTACAATACACGTATTATCTAGAGGTTATGATACATTAGATTTCCATTTTTTTCCAAAATTTGCTCCAGAAATCATTTATTAATAAGCAAGAAAAAAAACATACAAGCTATTGTTGAATTTAAACTAGTTGCCTGACGAATGACAGTTATATTTCTCGAGTTGGTTGAACATTTTGATATTTTGCACGAGTTAGAAACAATTAAAAGTTTTCAACCCATGTGTAAAGTATAATTGTTATTCACCAAGAACCCAGAACTATTTTGTTTTCGAATATTAACTTTAAACAGGTTATAACAAATATTGAACAATCTATTGCAACTTGTATACACCACTCTTTTCGGCCCGGATGGAAGCCGCAGAGGGTCTTAATGTGGGAGTAAATTAGATTACCCTGAACAAAACTTAGGTGGTCGGACAGATGACCCAATAACTTTACAAGTCCGATCGGAGAATAGAATTCCGGCCGTCTTGGTGAAAGAGAGCGCTACCCACTTCTTAAACCGACCACCACATAATCTATTCTAATTTATACGATTTTCCTTATTCCGTTTTTGCGTATTCCAGAGTTATCATCTCTTGTGAGCAGGTATTGATTGTTACGTCATTGGTTTGTGTGAGAAAATTGATGACGTTACTCTCACAAACCAATGACGTAACAATCAATACCTGCTCACAAGAGAAGATAACTCTGCAAAACGAAAAGACGGAATAAAAGCACAAGCTTTGGTGAACAGATTCGAATGGAAACAATATCCTGTTTTGGATATTTGGGGATTAAGATCAGATTTGTTTATCATCTATATGAAAGTGATATACAAGTTACCTGCATAAAACTTTCTAGTACAACTACTGAATTAATGAAATACAATGTTTGATATTTCAGAGAGGCAAGTGTTCCAGCAAAAACGATTTCTGGATATTCGAAGGGATATAGCTACAAAGTTGGCGTCGCCATAACAACCAAATCGGACACGAACCACGCTTGGAATGGCGTATTCGTAAACAATGAATGGCGTCTTGTTGATTGCACGTGGGACGCCGGTCATGTTGGTGACAATAAATTTCATAGGCATGAGGGAGAATTTTACTTCTTGACTGACCCGGATGTTTTCATCAACGACCATTTTCCATACATTAAAAAGGACATGACTTTAAGTCAGAAATGGCAGTTACTTAACCAACCACGTGACTTAGAGACATTTAGCAAGTTGGTAAAGGTACCAAAACAGGCTGTTCTGTATGATCTAGACTTAGTGTCGCACAAAGAGTCAATTATCCCAGTGACAAAGGAAGTAGTTGTCAAGTTTGTTGCTAAAGGGAAGCCTCTCCATAAAGCTGGTGCAAGGCTCGGTGACGCAGACGGAACATTGCATGACCAGTGCGTGTTTGTAGAGAAGGAAGGGGAGACGACCTACTCTGTCACGGTCAGACCTCAAAAACCGGGAAAGTACACTCTCAGTCTGTATGGAAACCAAGGAGAACAGAACACTTTAAATAGTCTAGTCAGTTACGTGATCGACTGTAAAACAGTAGAAAAAAACGCCAAACCATTTCCGGTACATTTTGGTTTGTGGGGAGCAGAACCTAACTACGCAGAGTATGGGTTTGACAGCGGAGTAGCGAAAAGGACATCTTTTGAATCGGATACAGGAGAGCTAGAAATTCGTCTACCGGTCATAGATCCAGTTAAAGCTCTTGGCAAGCTGGCATTCTCTGAAGACGACGAGGGCGATGATGAATGCATTATGCTTGAGCAAGGTCAGAGCGAGGTCCTGGTCCAATTACGGATGAACAGAGCGGGCTTTTACAAATTTCTGATGTTTGCAAAGAAAGAAAACGGTTCTTCTTATGAAAAGGTATTGCAGTATCTCATATATTGTAAAACCCCAGTAAAACAATATCAACCATTCCCGAAAGTCTTCCAAGAAGCCATGACAGGACGCATGGCTTTAATCGAACCAAAAACAAAGTCACTTCCGGCGGAAACGGAAGTTCATTTCCGCCTGACTTCTTCGGTCATAGACATTGTAAGAATAGCAAATAAAAACTATGAAAGAGGCGACAACAACACGTGGAACATTGATGTGATGACGCCCTCGTCTGGCGAAAAATTTAACATTTTCGGACGCATAAGTGATTCTGGTGATACTTCTTATAAAGCTCTCTACGCATACGACATTGAATGATTACATATGAAAACAAGATTACGCAATACAAAAATTTGAAAGTAGAACTAAAACTCACTGAAGTCACATGAAAAGCAGTATATACCTTGAGACTTCATATCCCATCAACATTTCCACATTGCGGTATTCATTTTTTGGGAATAATTATATATTTATCCAATATTTATTTATGAATAAAATTACAATTTGTATTTGACAATTACTCGTAACTGCTGGGAACAAGAGCATACAATTATGAACTGCACATGAGAGTTATATTCTGCGTAAGGTAGGACAATAAAGTCACCATTTCCCCTCATACGAATTCAGTAGCCATTTTATTACTGAATTTAAAAGTTGCTAATGATAGTTTCAAAGAATGAAGTTATAAACTGACATTTTATGAACGACATTAATTATACCTTTCACGATTGTCCCCTTAAGTAACCGATCGTCATCCGAATTAAATCATCGTCATTTAGATTTTTAAAACCCTGACAATTCGTCTGCTGTATCCGGATGGTAAATACTCCGCATCACAGTGATAGGTCATTTGATGTTTCACAGAGTTCTTCTATTGAACGTCCACAAAAACACTTATTTGTTGTGTAACAAGAACTTTTCAGAAACCTTCATTATCACTAGAACATCTGCCAATTAGTTCTACAGAAGACTCGATACCAGTAATGTAATCGGTTAGAATGGCATCAAGAAGACTTGCTCTATATTAAATAAAGCGAGTTGGTTGATTTATGACATTTACTATATTTAACAAATGAAGGATATAGAAAAGAATCAGACTTTGTGGCATTGTAAAAAAACTAGTTACATCGTTCACTTTATCATAAAGTTTATCGTAATATCAAGAGTATTGTTTACCGAAGCTCGCAAGTTTTCTCAGAACGGGACATTTTAATTTTAATGTCTATACGATGCATAATAAATTAGCATTGGTGAAGCTAATGGTACTTCACTCCATATCATTTCAGCACCAGGATATTCTAAACATGTTTAACGATCTGCCTTTATACTGCGATTTATACTAAGACAACGCCACCAGCGAAATTCCTAACTAACGGAAATAGAGAAGAGAATGAAACGTGTTATTAATTAAGTCTGATAAAGAAACCTACTCTTCAAGATGTGTTCCCTTACTCATCTTCTCTAGCCAAGTGTTCGCTTCGTTTGGAGTGTATACGAAGCGAACACTTGGCTAGCGAAGTTGTGCCTTACTATATATTGTGTATTCTAATTGTGTCTAACATTCTAATACTAAAATGAAAAATAAAAAAAGTTCACCAAATCTCGGGCAAGGATTGGACTCTACTTCCATATCTGGAGCAAACAAATGACGGTTACGAGAACGAGAGAGGTAGGAGTTTAAATAGCTTCTGGGGTAAACAAAGCATTTAAATAACTTGTACAAAATACCAGACAGGGATTGAAAGTTAAAAAAAACATATCATAAATACCTACGGGAACAACCGCATAGGTTCCAAAATAAAATATGCCAATCGCCATTCGATGACTAAGTTGATTTGGTACTCAAGAGCTTTCTCCGAATATCATGGACTCCCGTGGTAGATCTCGACTCCTGACAAACTGACAACATGGTGTTTCCAAATATGCAGATTGTATGGTCACCATCAGGATCTTGCAGGCAAATATGTTATTTCTTTGTGTGATATAAAGTCTATGATTTTGATTACGGACATTAGAGTGCCTAGTGGTTTGTTGTCGGTTTAATTTTAGGACGTCCAATTATTTAGATTCGATTTTGATTAGAAGACGCTTACTCTTCCCGAACACCTGGTCTTATTCTCCCGATATTCTCTTGGCGAATTGTTGCGATACCGTTACCAGAAAAACAACACAAGTTCCAGTCAGAGCGAGGTTCTGAAAACACGGTAACATTAATTACCAAGAACAACTGACAGTGGAAACATCTACATACGGGACATTTCTCAAATATGAAGGTGGTTACTACGTTTTAGATATTGTATCACCCAATAGCCATGTAAGGAGTACAAATACTACAATTCAGCCATTCTTTTACATTACATTAAAAAACAAGTGCATGTACTAAAATACAATGTTTAGTTAAATACTAATGGAAGTGTTTTTTAAACGATACATGCAGCGTTCTGCTGTCATTTATGAACAACAGGCAATACTACTGTTTGGGGTATTTCGACAATCATCATACTTACTATTGAGTCAGTCATTTTAGACAAGGACAAATATTAAGTTCCATCAAAAAGGAAAGACGAACTAATGGCTACAATACATTTATCAAATTGATGTCTGAAGCATCCCTTAAGATCACTGTGCACAACGTCACATCCGTTGAAATGATTTAACAGAGATATAGCCATGCCGGTAAAACAGTTTCCAATACTTATAGTTACATTCTTTGATAATGGTACGGGGATCCTTAAATTATACTACCAAAGTTGTATTTACTTGTGGGGCAGGTTTTAATAGTACATAGGATTTAACAGAGATATAGCCATGCCGGTAAAACAGTTTCCAATACTTAGTTACATTCTTTGATAATAGTACGGGGATCCTTAAATTATACTATCAAAGTTGTATTTACTTGTGTGGCAGGTTTTAATTGTACATAGGATTTAACAGAGATATAGCCATGCCGGTAAAACAGTTTCCAATACTTAGTTACATTCTTTGATAATAGTACGGGGATCCTTAAATTATACTACCAAAGTTGTATTTACTTGTGTGGCAGGTTTTAATTGTACATAGGATTAAGGTCGCCTTCTAGCTTCTAGGTAGAAGAAATTTCCCTTTAGCTCAGTGGTAGAGTGTCCGACTAGGAACCTGGAGATCGAGGGTTCGATCCCTGTGGGAAGCACACTATTCTCTTTCCTGTTACACTTGTACTATACGTTTTGAGATACAACCCTAACGCATGTGTACAACTAGATGCAAAAAGTAACACTGATGAGGATTATTTAGCAGGAAATGTGGGTCATATTCAGTATATGGTGCATTGATTGCAATAACATTGCCAAACTGCAACTATTGTCAAATTTGTAGAAACACAGAGCTTAACATGAAAACTTAAAAAGTTCACGCCGTCGGTAGAAACCAACGTGACACTTTTGGTGTATTTTATCTTTTGTGACATCTGTCCAAGTTGGAACTAATATGGAATAACAACGACGTAGGTTAAAACCAGATGAAGAAATGTATGCTCTTGGTCAGATTTCACTGTATAAAAAATTTCACGATTTTGAATTTGATGAGACGCATTTTACATGTAAAAAATAAACCGGAATTATTTACAGTTACCTGCTGCAATCATAATCTCTGCACAGTCCGACTTTCTCAGGCCTGAAAATGTTTCCAGCAACCACACCTACCCTTCTTTTAAGTATTTTAGCTGCCAGGCTTCTGCAATTTTAAATAATAAAATATATTAAACGTAATCAAAGCAGAATATCTTATTCATTCCTGCGTATAAAAACAGGAGTTATGAAAAAATAGTTTTATAATTATGAAAAAAGGAAAATTTACCCATCATAAAGACGTATGGCGCGTAAGGTACATGTATGCTGAGCACCTATTTCAGTGTGCCGCATGGACACTGTCTAAAATACACGATTTATGACTGCGCATATTACGTGCAAATCTCCACTTTAAATGGCGTTTATGCAAAAATATATTATGAATACCAATAATCTATGCTACAATATTTTTACATAACTGACGGTCTCAAAAGCTCACCAGAGCTTGTGGTTTATTGTTATTCCTCGACTTGCCAATTTCAAATAAAGCTCATCTTATATCATAAGCTCTTAATCAGTAAGTTTTATGTGATATGAACGGCTTATTGTCTGAGGCATGCTTTATTGCACTTCAAATCAAATCGTACATCCTGTTAAAGGTAAAAAAAACGTGCTGATCAAAATAATAACGTTAAAAGTGTCGATATTTTAATATCGATATTGACTAGAAATCGGTCTACATGGGTTTTTTGAGCATGGACTCTATTACCTGTCTGGGTTTCATTTTCCCCGAGCCTGCAATATGAAACCCAGACAGGTAATATGAGCCCGTTACCTGCACAAAACCTGTATAACGAATTTGTCATACGGCAAACTCTAAAATAAAACAAATAAATCAAATTCAAATAACAAAATATTTATCCAAATTAACAATAGTAAGTCAACAGTGATAACAAGTTTGTTTTCAAAGGTTGAAAGTAATATTGAGAGTGCATGGCTATGGTGCTGTTCGAAAACAAAGGGCCGGTGCGATAAGATTGTGTGTACACATTGGTTTCACTGACAAAACCTGAAATAAAGGTACTCAATATTAATCCCTTTTTGGTGGTCATCGGCGTATTCGCACATATCTTTTCCGCAATGTCCCCCGTCGTGTGTGAAGCGGACCTGTCAGCCATTGTTGTTTGTGACAGACGACAGGTATTTGGAAGGCTTCGGGATCTTCCGCAATACACACTCGGCTTGTCCCCCTGAGCATGCGCATTTATATTACCAGACTAGTAGGTCACGCGCTTTAATATAACCGGAGTAGACTTCATATTACCGGACTAGAACGTTAACCCCATTATAGTAAACCAAAGCTGAGCTGTTGACCAATGAAAACAGTTAGAATTTCACTAACAATATGACAAAGCTCCATGTTAACGTTGCTGCCCCCCAAAAAAGCAGCAAAATTGGTCCACGCTTTAGCAGGGGCAGTAATAAAGATAAAACAATCATTTTTTTTTTTATCATTTACAGTTTACTGTCCTATAATACAAAACAGTATACGCACAAAAATCAATTTGAAACACATTTTTATAAGTTCACCATAACATGCTTCATCCCCACCACAATTTGTTTGGCAAATCAGAGACGTATTATACTACTATGGCTTTATCAGTATCCATTTTATGGTGTAAAAAAACCCGGAAAGTGAAAAAAGAAGACATGATAACATCAAAATTTCACCAACCCGGCCAAGGTCGCGTTTTTCGTTTATGGCGATCTAAACGGTTGGACCAGAGTTGTTCGTCACCGGCATTTGTTTCTGTCAATAAAAATAGTCACGAGAAAAAAAAACACCAATCGTTGACGTTTATTTACTCCGGTTTCGGGCGATCTAGGTTTCTGGCGATTTAGGGAAGTGATATTGTTGTGTGTATAACCAGAAATTGGACCAGAGGACCCAGTAATCTTATGCTGCTTTCAGGCGAGCATTTATCAAGCCTTGCAAGGTCTGCATACACTTTTGCATGTCCGCCAGATCTCATACCCGAAAAAGGTTCATTTAAAAACGGACGTGCCGGTTGTTCCGCATAAACGAGCAGGCCCAGGTGTTCATAAATTCCCGCTTGACATGACAGGAAGTGCTCGTTTACACTTAACCGGAAGTTTACAATATCAAGCTGTGTTATCACGTGATGATAACAAGATGGCAGCAGAAATAAAGCCAGTGCCTGCTAATAAACAAGGAAACGTACGGAAACCGGTGCTGCTGAGTAAACTAGAGGGATTCAACGATGATGTCAATATGGCTGTCATAATTCCCAGAGAGGACGGTGTTATCACGGTCAGCGATGACAAGTAAGTATCTCATCTTGAAAGTATTTTTTTCTTTCCTTCGTCCCGGAAGTCCCAAGCAGCTGAATCCTGCCTCCGATAACGCCTACCTATCTTTGTTTTATTCATAATGTTAATGTAACCGGTATAGCAGTAAACAGCCAATGGTTTTACAGATTGAACTATCGATACACATGTTTTTCAATTACACAATTGTCGATTGTACAACATGTCTGTACATAGACTGACAAATCTGACATTGGTTTTAATGGGTCACTTATCCTTTTACAAGAGGCTTTGTCCAGGTTTCCTGGTAACTAGGCCTACTGTACGTTTGACGGTTTCTCTATATCGTTCATTCTTGTTATTGTGATACTGATACAGTATGGATTTGCTAAAAAAATCCTGCATAAGATGTTTTTATATTTAAATATGTTATGTTATAATTACTAATCAAAGAGTTTATGAAAAGCTTAAAACACCCAGTTCCAGAGAAATGTATTAGGCATCAGTTCACTTGCAGTGCCCTAACAACTTTGTATATAATGCATGGTACATACTTATTTAAGTGTTATTAGCTAGCATTGTATAAATTAAGTAAATGATCAATTTAAATAACCAACTCAGATACTGGAGCAGGGTTGAGAGGACCTATGATTATGAATCACCAAACCTATATGTAGCTGTGATACACTGCTGTCTGCACATGAATATGATTTAACGTTGTATTGTTATGTTTCAGGACACTACGAATTTGGCTGAAAAGAGACACTGGCCAATATTGGCCAAGTATTTGTCACACCATGCCAGGTAAATAATAAATTAATTTATAGTTCTTTAATTGTATTTGGTTAATTAATCCAGACTATAACTGACTTTTTGTACAGGGCTGTGGTGGTTAAGGTGTCTGATATTCTGCTACCACTAGCCGTCCACCACTGGGTCGCGGGTTCGAAGCCTCTTCAGGGCAGTCGCCAGGTACTAGCCGTAGGTTGTGCTTTTTCCCCGGGAACTAACAAAATTGCTTTCCCCCCATCACCAAAAGCTGGCACATCCTTAAATGATCATAGCTGTTAATAGGATGTAAAAAATTAACAGGCCAAACCAATCTATTTGTATAACGATATTGGAATAATCAAGGCTAAAAATAATTTTGGGCTTATTATATAACAGAGGATCTATCTGGCTTACTTGACAAAATTAATCTGATCCAAACATAACACAGTCTATTTATCTTTTTAATAATATTCAGGCTACCCAGACTATATCTAACTATATGTTTGTTTGGTCCTTTATGTCCTTAAAACATGTCCTTGGTGATTGGGATACTTTAACTCATTCACCCCCGAAGACACATTTGAACTCTCCAATTCAAAGGATGGAATAGTTCATTATGAAACTTCAGGGGTGAATGAGTTAAAGTGTCCTATCAGTGAAAATTTAAGATCCCAAATGTTGCAATTGCGTGGGTACAGCAGATTTTTTTATATTTATTTTGCTTCAAAATATATAATAATTCTGGAGACTGACTAGAAAATGCTCAAACTTCAGGGATTTATTACATCAGGCACTTCTTACACATCTTGTGTTATTACCAATAGTCAATACCACCCTATAATTAGTTGCACATTCTTGAATCAGATATCTTATTGGAAAGTATCAGTATGATGTTGTCATGGTTTTATAATTATCAGTATGACGTTGTCCTGGTTTTATAATTATCAGTATGACGTTGTCTTGGTTTTATTCTTATCAGGATGACGTTGTCATGGTTTTATAGTTATCAGTATGATGTCGTCATGGTTTTATAACTATTGGTATGATGTTGTTATGTTTTTATAATTATTGGTATGATGTTGTTATTGTTTTATAATTATTGGTATGATGATGTTGTTATGGTTTTATAAGTATTGGTATGATGATGTTGTGGTTTTATAATTATTGGTATGATGATGTTGTTATGGTTTTATAATTATTGGTATGATGTTGTTATGGTTTTATAATTATTGGTATGATGATGTCGTGGTTTTATAATTATTGGTATGATGTTGTTATGGTTTTATAATTATTGGTATGATGTTGTCATGGTTTTATAATTATCAGTATGACGTTGTCATGGTTTTATAATTATCAGTATGACGTTGTCATGGTTTTTTTAATTATCAGTATGACGTTGTCATGGTTTTATAATTAACAGTATGATGTTGTTATGGTTTTATAATTATTAGTATGATGTTGTTATGGTTTTATAAATATTGGTATGATGTTGTTATGGTTTTATAATTATTCGTATGATGTTGTCATGGTTTTGTAATTATCAGTATGATGATGTCGGGGTTTTATAATTATCATTATGATGTTGTCATGATTTTATAATTATCAGCATGACGTTGTCATGGTTTTATGATTATCAGTATGATGATGTTGTGGTTTTATAATTATAAGTATGACGTTGTCATGGTTTTTTAATTATCAGTTTAACGTTGTCATGGTTTTTTAATTATCAGTTTAACGTTGTCATGGTTTTTTTTATTATCACTATGACGTTGTCATGGTTTTATGATTATCAGTATGATGGGGGGGGTATTTTATAATTATCAGTATGAAGTTGTCATGGTTTTTTTTATTATCACTATGACGTTGTCATGGTTTTATGATTATCAGTATGATGTCGTCATGGTTTTATAATTAACAGTATGATGTTGTTATGGTTTTATAAATATTGGTATGATGTTGTTATGGTTTTATAAATATTGGTATGATGTTGTCGTTGTTTTATAATTATCATTATGATGTTGTCATGGTTTTCTAATTATCAGTATGAAGTTGTCATGGTTTTTTAATTATCAGTTTAACGTTGTCATGGTTTTATAGTTATCAGTATGACGTTGTCATGGTTTTATGATTATCAGTATGATGGGGGGGGTATTTTATAATTATCAGGATGATGATGTCGTGGTTTTCTAATTATCAGTATGACGTTGTCATGGTTTTTTAATTATCAGTTTAACGTTGTCATGGTTTTTTAATTATCAGTTTAACGTTGTCATGGTTTTTTAATTATCAGTTTAACGTTGTCATGGTTTTTTTAATTATCAGTTTAACGTTGTCATGGTTTTTTAATTATCAGTATGCCGTTGTCATGGTTTTTTAATTATCAGTTTAACGTTGTCATGGTTTTTTAATTATCAGTATGTTGTTGTCATGGTTTTATAGTTATCAGTATGACGTTGTCATGGTTTTTTTAATTATCAGTTTAACGTTGTCATGGTTTTTTAATTATCAGTATGTTGTTGTCATGGTTTTCTAATTATCAGTATGACGTTGTCATGGTTTTATGATTATCAGTATGATGGGGGGGGTATTTTATAATTATCAGTAAGATGTTGTCATGGTTTTTTTAATTATCAGTATGTTGTTGTCATGGTTTTATGATTATCAGTATGATGGGGGGGGTATTTTATAATTATCAGGATGATGATGTCGTGGGTTTATAATTATCAGTACGATGTTGTCATGGTTTTATAATTAACAGTATGATGTTGTTATGGTTTTATAATTATTCGTATGATGTTGTCATGATTTTATAATTATCAGAATGATAGTGTCATGGTTTTATAGTTATCAGTATGACGTTGTCATGGTTTTATAGTTATCAGTATGACGTTGTCATGGTTTTTTTAATTATCAGTTTAACGTTGTCATGGTTTTATGATTATCAGTATGATGGGGGGGGTATTTTATAATTATCAGCATGATGATGTCGTGGGTTTATAATTATCAGTATGACGTTGTCATGGTTTTTTAATTATCAGTATGCCGTTGTCATGGTTTTTTAATTATCAGTATGTTGTTGTCATGGTTTTATAATTTTCTGTTTGATGTTGTCATGGTTTTATGATTATCAGTATGATGGGGGGGGTATTTTATAATTATCAGTATGAAGTTGTCATGGTTTTTTTAATTATCAGTATGTTGTTGTCATGGTTTTATAATTATCAGTATGATGTTGTCATGGTTTTATAATTTTCAGCTGCAGCAGCTTCTCTGGCATACAATGGAGAGACAAGGAGATTATTTATAGGATTGGACAACGGAACAATTACGGTAATATTCAAAAATAAACAACTATTAAAGTGATGTTTAGAGATTTACCAACAGAACAATGATGGTAATTTTCAGAGATTTACCAACAGAACAATGATGGTAATTTTCAGAGATTTACCAACAGAACAAATATGGCAATATTCAGAGATTTACCAACAGAACAAATATGGTAATATTCAGGGATTTACCAACAGAATAATTATGGTAATTTTCAGGGATTTACCAACAGAATAATTTTGGTAATATTCAGGGATTTACCAACAGAACAAATATGGTCATAGAAAATGATAATTTAGAGGAATCAGAGTAACATTTTTTTTCATAATTGTTGAAAGTCTGGCCTTTTGGAAAGAAAATAACAGACAGAATGTATGAACTAGCATATAATATACAGATCCAAGAGGTAGGTTTTTTATCACCCGTGGGTAGGTTTAAAATTACAGCAACAATTCTATGGATAAATCTAAATAAAGTAGACATTTAATATATTTAGATTTGGTAGTTAACTATTTGAAAACTGAAGTATTTTTCTGTTGATTAAAAATATTTTATATTAACCCTTTCACCACTGTAGACCGTAATGGACTCATCCATATCAATGCATGGAAAGTCTACTAAAGTTACATAGGGATGAAGGGGTTAAAGGGTCTGATCGGGGAAAAAATGTCATATTTGCTAAAATGGCATACATATATTTAAAATACCTTCTTATGAAATATACCGTTTCAAATTTTGCTGAAATTCACTCCATAAGAGTAAAAAATATGATTATATTAAAGAAATCCTAAATCGTCACCTGACAGTCTAAAACTCTCAATTGACCCAGATCAGTGATGTAATTTTACCGAACGTGCGTCATTAACAAGGCCAAATGCAAACATCGCGGCGAAAGAAAAAGATGCATGCTAAAGTCATGACAGGCACAAGGTATCAATACCGTTATATATAACAACAACATATAGGTAGGAATACTACACTTGCATCATACATGACCTTTGAAAACAATTATTTACGTATAGTATTGCTGTCTTGTCCGCTAGTTGAGTCCGACATGGCACATGACGGCGTGCTATTGTTGTTATCTTCACTGCCTCACTTTCGAAACAACCACGTGACATATATAAATAGATATGCGCTAAATTTACGCGGGGCTTCCCCGAGATTTCAGTGGTCAAAACTGGACA